TTCACAAGTTTAGTTATAAAACACAGCTCGGGAAAAATTACAGAGGTCCGGACCGCGGTGAACTCAATGGTAGATACGGCCCTGGGTCTGGGGTAGAGTTCTTCAGAATTGACGTGGCAACTCTACCGTGAAGTCAGAACCTCTGACTCTTGGACTTGTTTTGTGAATTATCTGGCCGAAGCTCCTAAATAAACCATCAGCGTTTGACATCAGAGCTCCAGCTCTCCCCGTGTCTCCCTCCTGTTTCGTTGACTCCAACTGCATTGCTACAAATAAGTTTTCTCCCACAAATAGCAGTAGTAATTTTGTTACCATTATGTAATTGAAGAATGATTAAAAACAACTAACACTTACCACAGAATGAGACACATCAAAGTTATGCATCTGATTTTCTTGGATTTTAGGATGTCAAGCATGGTCTATTTCTTAAATTGTGCCGATGCCTGTGACGGAAAGAATTGCAACGAGAGAGTTAATGTGGTTACATTATACAGACTTGAACAAAGACTATATTAAACATGTTAATAGTCCATTTAAATTATCTTAATTCTTTCAGGGTATGGGATTACCTATCCAACATTGTTTTAGTGATAACTGTTGTTTTTATTTTAATCATTACTAACTAAGGTGCCAGGGTCAAGAAATCAATGAATAACGTCTTTGTCTAAAACAATAATTTGCAATATTAGTAACTTGACAGAGGGATGTCACTCATTTTTTGTAATTTTGAAACAGCTTAGGCTAGGCAGAAGCAGACATAACAACAGCTAGCATTTATTAAGTGTTAGAGGAACACATGTGACCACACTTTATTTACTGTCTCCAACAAATGTTGGGGGCAAACGGACATTATAATGAAACATGTCACAAACATTCAGTCGTATTTTTACAGACAATATGTGAACTGTACCTCAGATTCTTTAAAGATTACAGCTGGGGCTTCAATCTTATTTTTCCGTGCAGCCTCTCTCACTATGGCCTCCGCCTCCTCCACTCTTCCCTGGGTGATCAGCCATCGAGGAGACTCTGGGATGAACCTGCACAATCGATACAGATTCAACATTACATTTCTAAATATATATTTGAATTGTCACATCATGTTGTTAAACCAGGAGTTTGACTATTGGCAGATTGTCAGTAGGCTACATGACTTTATAAATGAGAACTATGAGTGGCGTACCACCACAGAGGGATGTAGACAACAGCAGTTGAGGACAGAACTGCCAGAAGAGTCCTCCATTCTCTGATGCCGTATGCAATCCAGGGTAGTGTCATGTACCCAATGCAATAGAAGAGGAAGGCTCCGAGAGTTGTGAAGAGTATTCGCATTGTTTTACTCAAAACCTCCGTTCCTGCCCGAGATAAAATCAAAGTTGTTGAGCGAATAAAAAGAGACACTTAATGATCTATTCATTCACAAGGCACAATCATTTCTACATAAAAGATCAAACATAGGAGGAGGATCATTTTACGATTCTTACCTAGCACAAACGCAGAAATATAGAGGGAAATCTGGGAGGCTCCGACAAAGAGGAACATGACGCAGAACATCTGCCATGAATGAGAGAAGGACTGAAGCATGACTGCCACACTCTGGGCCACGAGAGAGATGAAAACCACCTTCTTCCTCCCAAACCTGAAAGAAAAATAATGTTATATCATTAACAGTGATTCACAGAGAGAAGCATTTTAGATAATATGATGATAGTGATATCTTTGTGATTGATTTGTTGCTTTTTAAACAAAAGCCTAGCAAAAGCTGTGCTAGCAAAAAGTAGATAAAAACTTAAAACTGATGTATGTTGGCAGTATGTCCTGCACAGTTGAAAAATGCAATGTGAATTTAAACGTATCAAGTTACAAATCTGCTCTTAACCCTCCTTAACACCACTGTGTTGGAGTACGGAACAAAAGCAATAACCTTTCCTGTGCAACTTTTACTGTATATATATACAAGATTCATTTTAATGCATCTGAGCTGCATTAAAATTTCACTTTTTTGCAACTAAGTTCATGCAAAATCCAAACAAGATGCTGATATCAGACCTTATACCTCTGATCAGGCACAACTGTGACTTAGTTCAATACAACAACAAAACTGTGACTTCAGTCCAAGAATACAATTATGTTATTTGGGTTATTAAATGTTTTGTAAAACACTTGCAGTTAAGCAAGTTACATGGTTCTTTCATTATGTAATGCCATTACAACACACTGTGCTTTTGACCTCTCACCACTCTCACTCATGCTTTGGTGTTAACAGAAAGTAGAAGGAGAAGTGTGGCAAAGGGAGCTATAATAAATCTTTATCTTACTTTTGTCTTTAAAATTACTAAATGTGGCGCAATGATCAAAAAGCTCAAAAACCTTAGAGGCCCTCACCCCTATTTTACAACCATTGGGATTGGGGGT